TCGATCTTATTCGCTCAGACATTAAAATTAATTTCTCGATAACTATTGCGAATTTTGCAAAATGGTATAGGACTTTTCTATTCAGTTTGCCCCTGTCTATCTACCATCTACGGGACATACGGGTATTAGGACACACCCTGTATACATTTTACAATTACACAATTTTGTTTTAATATTCTTTCCATGTTTCTATTATACTGTACAAATAAGTAATATAACAAGATTAGTATTTAGCAAATTATTAATGTAATACAATAATATAAATTTTTTTAATTACGATTTTGTAGGTGAAGCAAGCTAACCTGGGCAGGCATATTACTCTAGGCGCTGACGATCTTCTGCCGCTGGTAATCTGGGTTTTGGTACGCGGTAAAGTGGTGGATGCGGAGATTGAGGCCGAATACATGTGGGGCCTGTTACATGCTTCCCTTTTGAGTGGTGAGGGCGGCTATTACCTGACAACGCTGTCGAGCGCAGTACATGTTCTAAAAACCTTCAAGTCCAGCCAGAGCACCATGTCTACATTAAACGTAATAAATATGATTATATTTCATTAACTTTATTGTTAATTTAGTTGATAAGTTCAATTATTATTAAGTTTAATTATAATTGAGTAATTATAGTTAAACTTATATAAATGTCCACGGTAACTTATGTAGGGTGAGTCTTTTTAATCTTAACAGGCATATATTTCAAAAATATGCAATTTCATACAAAAGTTTTTTAATAAAAGTTGTACGGCCTAGAGGGGGACGTACAATAGTGACCTTGGTTTGACCTTGAGACGTTTGTTTAAAGTAAAATTAAAGTTAACTATTTTTTTTTCAAATAGAAATCCATATTTTTCATTACGTTTTCGGATCGTGCAAATTAAAATAAACATCTTCAGTATCTCGAGAATTTTTCATAAAATCCATAGTTTAGAGATATTTGGATTTTAAAAAAAGGCGGTAATTTTATCAAATTATAATTATTAAGTTTAGTTGGATTTTTTCACGGAAACATCTTTGTTTAGGGTTGTGGAACACCAGACTGTTCATCTGTGTTGCGAATCTTAGTACCGGACGAGTTGCACGGTTCTTTAAATACTAGAACACTTCCGGTACGACCCAACATGAATACCAGAGAAATCTGCCGCATTCTTGCGCATAAGATCAGATGCACAAATCCTCAAGATTATGGGCTCTTTAAGTTGGTGCAAGGGGAAGGTGAGCACATTTAATGTAAAATTTTACATGTTGAGTACTATATGAAATAAATTAGATATATCTTCCTTTTTAATTGCAACTTATATAAAGGTTTTATTCAATTAGAAAGAGTTTGTAAATAATTAAATAGACATCCTTATCGATTTTTTTAATACTAGCTATTCATAATTACTTTTTTTTATGTCTTATTGTTAACGAAACTTTACATTTTATTTGATACATTTCTAACTTTATCACGCTTGTTATTATTTTTATAATGTTAACATTTTGAGAATAATTATTGCAATAATTTTTAATATTAATAATACTTATTATCTACTAATTATTAATAGAAATGAATGGTGAAAAATTATTTATGCAATATTGTATATCGTAATTTTTCAAAATTATACTATATTTAATGATTTATAATGACTGCATGAGCATTTTTTTCTGGAAATTGTTTTAGAAACGTTGCTCGGAGATCATGAATGCCCACAGGAACTCTCTCACTGCCTTTTCGCCTATAAGCGGATTGATGCCAAGATAGCATGGCCCAAGACCAGTTCTTAAAATAGAGTAGACAAGTATTCTACTAATTAAAAATTAACTTTTATACACCACTGTCATGAATCGATATCGCGCTTTTCAATCTTGAACATACGCGAAAATTTATCGGAAAATATTATATTTTTTCTACAAAAACATCTCTTTTAAGAGTTTGGATTGATTCACTCAATATTGTCTACATATTCAAGGACTTTTGTTCAACGTATCTTGATAGAGATCTTCTCAACACTGCCATTTTCACAAAGCTTTGTCATGAAAAAATGAAGTGTGGATAAACAAGAATTTTTAAATAAGTAATATAGGTACTTAACAAGGAAAGATAACTTAAATAAAAAGAGAGAAAGGAAAGGAGATAAATAAGTTTCATAAAAATTTTCCAATTGATATAAAGTGATCCTAAACAGTATCTGCTATGTACAATTGTTAATTTTTATATTTTAACCCTCAGTAGATAGTGGAATTTAATTATTTATATTCTAGAATATAAAAATTAATAAGTTGTTAAAGATAAACTTTGCATATAAAGTAGCACGAGTATAATAGATAGTATAAAGTTTTCTTATGATCTAATATTTATATATAATAAATAATAATATGAGTCTTATTCTCCTCGATCTTTTTATAATAATTCTTTATTTTAATCCTTTTTTTTATTTCGACAATTCTTTTTAACGAGGTCATGTAAACTTCAGGAAGCTAATACCAAAAAGTAAAATGTACATTTGTGCAGTTTTCTAATATCCTAATTCTAATAACAAGTGCAAATAAACAACCTTAATTTGCACTGATAAAGGCACTGTGCCGAAATGTTCGCCGTTTAAGGGGATGCTGGAGTGATTTTGCACTTTTGCACCTTTCTAACCTAAAAACTGTCAGTTCGCGGAAACATTTGTGTAATATACAAATTAAATGGCTTACGTGTACAGATCGAAAGCAGCTTGCTATTCCGGCCAAATGAAAGAACAATATGGCATCACTGAAACTAAGTTTGTAAGTCTAATAAAAAATAATAGTGAGCAACACACATACTATATGTACTGTATGTATGTGTTGCTCACTATTATTTTTTATTAGACTTACAAACTTAGTTTCAGTGATGTCATATTGTTCTTTAATTTAGCCGGAATAGCAAGCTGCTTTCGATCATCTGTACACGTGCCATTTAATTTGTGTATTACACAAATCTTTCCATGAAACAGACAGTTTTAAGTGCAAAAGGTGCGAAA